CCCCCCTCTTTGTCTCCACCGCCGTCCCTGCCCCTCCCACTTTTGACCCTCATCCCTGCCCCTTCTGCGTGTGTTCCTGCTTTGCATTGCATCGGCAGCTGCTGGAGCTCTGTTTCATCAAGGCCGGCCCGGCTTTCCAGGTTCACGCATGCTCGCGCGAGTTCCTCAACGTCCTCATCAAGACCTTCCCTGAACAGCCACAGGTACGGGGGCTGCTCATCTTCCCGTGCTCCGTTCTGCCGCCGCCTGTTCACCTCTCTTTTAACCCCGTGCTTTGCTGTCCTCCCCCCCCCCCCCCCGGGTCCCGGTGTCATGCCCATCCGCACGACAGGACCTGATCAACCCGGTGCACAAGAAAATCCTCGCACTCCTGTACAAGTGGCACCAGACCATTGGCCAGCATGCGCGTTACCGTCTGTTCCTGGCGCCCCTCAACCACCTGTACACCCTCTTCCGCACGAAGGGCTTCAAGTTCCCGGAGATCCCCCAGTCCGAGCTCAGCGCCCTGATGGAGTCCATGGTGCGTGTGCCGACGGCCACATAGACACACATCCACATATACATATTTGTGCATATACGCGCTCGCGCACGCATACATATACATACATGCCCGGAGTGTTGCTTCGGCATGCCCCACCTACCTGCCTCTGACTCCCCCTTCGCCTCGCCGTCTGGTGCCCCCTTGTCCCCTCGTTTGCTTGTTGGCCATGCGTGCAGTCCTTCCTCTCGGAATCCGAGCTGCGTCGCATCGACCAGGAGGCCCAGTCGGCTGTACGCGCCCTTCCCCGCCATGTGTCAGACGGCCGGACGTCGCTGCATTGTCCTCTAACCCGATTCTCGCCTTCCCTCCCCCGCTGCCTTTTTTCCTCCCGGCGCCATCTCAGCGGCTGGAATATCTGCTTCAGCAAAACTCCAAGCAATGTATCGAGGAAGCCAACGACCTGATGAAGGCCATGGTCGGCTATGTGCGTGTCGGCCTGCGCCCCACCCTCGCGTTGTCTTTCTCTTTTCCCCCTTCCCACTGACTCTCCCCCCTCCTTGCAGGACCCCGATACCATGCCGGACTACGCGGCGGAGGTCCGCTCTCAGCTGGCTGACATCGAGGCGGCAGCCATCGGTCTGGCACAGGCCATCTCCAACTCAATCAATAATGACACCGAGGACACCCCGCGTGTCCTGACCGAGCCCATGCAGGTACATCAGCCACCCCCTTTTGTTTCGGCTCTTCCTCTCTCTCTCTCTCTCTCTCTCTCTCTCCCTCTCTCCCTCTCTCTCTCTCTCTCTCTTCCCCCTCTATCTCTCTTCCTCTCTCTCTCCCCCCCTCTCTCCCCTGCTCTTTCTTTCTCCCTCTCCGCATCGCACTCACTGGTCCGTTTCTTCTCTCGCCGCGCCGCGCCGCGCCGCCCACAGCAAGACTACATTCGCTGCAAGGCATCCCAGAAGCGCCTGATGGCCATCCTCAATGACGCCCCCGCTGACGAGGAAATCGACGAGCAGCGCATCGCCCAGTACCTCCAGGTGAATGACACCATCAACACGGCCCTGCGCGCGGTCGATGCCTACATCATCGGCGAGCCCCTCTCCCCGACGGCTCTCTCCCTGGCCTCGGGATCGTCGCTCCTCGGCCCGTCGGCCGGCCTCGCCGCGCCGGCAGACACCAATGTCTCGAATCTGTACGCGCCCCTGCCTGATGTCCCCCCTCTCCCGCCCCCCTCACCCCATGCACCCCGCTAACCAGACCCAACAGCCTGGACATGTCCTCGCCCCCAGGGGCCGGCGCCCCGCACGCGGCTTCCACCCCGTCGGCCTCGTCGGCGGTGCTTGGCAACCTCCTGGATCTGGACTTGACCCTGCCGGCCCCGGCCGCTGCCCCTGTTGTCGGTGCCTCGCCGGTGGCCTTTGCCGATCCGTTTTCCGGCTTCGGCACCCCGTCGGCCGATTCGGCCGAGCCCTCCTCCGTGGCCAGCACCCAGAGCTCCTCGGCTTACCTGCTGGATGCCGGCCTGGCGGCGGCGCCGGCCTCGGGCCCAGGCGATTCCTTCTCCTCGCTCTTCGCCAACCTTTCCATGTCGGACTCGGCCAGCAGCCCCGCCGGCCCGGTGGACATGGGCTCGGTTTCGGCCTCCCCGGTCGTTTCGGGCGCCCCGGCTGCTTCAACTGCCATTGCGCCTCCCCCGATGCCCGCTGGAGGTGTGTGCCCTCCCTTCCTCGCTCGCCTTGGCTGCTGTGCCTCTTCCCCTTCTTCCTCCCGCTGCTGTCGTTTGCGTTGCTCCGCACCCCTGTCTTCTTCTCACCTGCTGGTTTCCTGCTCATTCGACACAGCCGTCGTGCTAGACGCTTCGGGTATCCGCATTGAGCTGTCGACCATCCGGTCGCGGGCGCTCGACGCGTCCGAGGCCCAGAAGTATGAGATCCCTGTGAACCGGGCGCTGGAGCTTGTGGCCAAGATCCACAACACCGACCCCTCCGGCACGGCCATCAAGAGCTTTGTCCTGATGTTGGCCGTGCAGAAGGTGTGTGCATGCTATTTGCGTGATGCTGGCATCCTCCCTTTTCTCTCTCTCTCTCTCTCTCTCTCTC